GAAAACATTTTTCGATAAGGGTTTAATACAGCCCTCAGATGTATGGATGACTTCTCCCAGTAAGGCAATACAGTTCATTCGTTCTATTGACGAGTGCACGGATGGATTTGAGTTCACTCACTCGACAAAAAGTGACACAACAGCGGGGCCCTGTTTACTAAAAATGAACACATATGAGTTCATTTTTAGTAAACAGGGCCCCGCTGTTGTGTCACTTTTTGTCGAGTGAGTGAACTCAAATTCATCCGTGCACTCGTCAATTAGGTTCTGCAGCGTGACGTCACGAATGAACTCAGTGTTAATCGGCTGAACCTTTTTGACAGTTCAGTGGTACTGTTTACAAGCACTTAGTCGTTTTTTCGAAAAAAAATTCTAAGATTTCCGAATTTTAACTTGAAAATTGTCGAGGAACAGCGCGTTGCAAGGATTTTGCTCGTGAACATTGCAGAAATGTGGTTTACATCTCACTGCAGTCTGAAAAATTATCGAGAAAATCCACCCAAGAAAAAATCGACTAAGTCCACGTAAACAGTACCACTAAACTGTCATCAGATTGAGGTTAACCCCGACGGTGCAAAACCTAATAATACCTTACTGGGATAATGCCTATAGTCAGCTAGTGGAAATCACTCAAACAAATAGTGATACAACACCCTGATGTGGCATACATTAAACCGGGGCCCGCCACAATAGATCAAATAACTGGTCGCAGTGGAAAAATGTACCCAACAAAGGAAAAAAAAAGAATGGCTTGGCTTGGTATATTGTAAGGAGATGAATTAGAACATATGAAAATAAATTAACAATCATCGTTAACATACCTTTTGACTCGCGTTTGACCTCAAAGTTCTTACAACAATACACAACGAAAGCGGTAAGTCATGCAAGGTGTGAACAACGTTTAGGATTGCTAGTTCGTGTGAAGTAATATCGTCATTTTGCTTGTTATTTTATTTGTCTTCGCGTTTCTCTTTCCTACAGGGCTCTAATTGCTATTGATTCACGTAGAATCTATTTGATTTCACATAAATTTCTATAGAAATTCAGATAAAAGTTACGTGATTTTCACGTTGTTCATGTTCAACAACATATTACGTGAACTTCACGTAAATGGTAAGTGATTTGCAAAAAAAATAGTGCGATTCAATATGACGATGATGCAGCTTTGGTAATCATTAATTTACAGGCAGCCAATTCGCGATATATTCCACATAAAGTTGATCGATGTTACAAAACCATCCATGGACCTTACTGACTATCATAACCATTACCATTAAAGTTCTCAAACCATAAGTAAGAAGGTTCTAATATTCCGAAAATGTATGAAGCAAAGAACTATTTTTAATGGTAATGGTTCTTATTATTCTCATTATTTGTAAGGTCCTCTTCCAAAAATACATAATACATCAGGTTAAAACTTTATCACACAAACGTTCATGTTAAGTTCCATAACCATATCAGTTAAAGTTTAGCAGGGATTATCTAGGGGCAAGACAACTTTTAATAATGAGTAAATTTTGAGTAACTCTGAGTAACTCGAGCTGCTCAATATTCAATGTCAAGGTGACATAGCAACCAGTTTTGTTTTGTGTGCATTCCACAATTGTCAAGCAAAGATGTTTGACGAGGAAAATCTTATCATTGGATGGCGATTATAATAGAAGGATTTTCTAGTTAGCATGGAGTAGGGACACAATTTATCATAGTGATGATACAAACATTATTGAACACAGTTATTCAGCACTCCATTGCAAACATTTTGGCAGATTGCATAGACACGAAAAAGATTATAGATGTTCCTGCACCGCTAAAAAGTTTCACCACCGACGAACCGACGTGACAGCTCATAGAAGCCATATTTAAATTCTTGCCCAAGACGGCATATTTAAAATACGTTAAACACTACCGCCATCTACCCCTCCGTTCGCGTCATATCGTAAGCAAGGACACGTACACACGTAAAATATATAAAGAGTTGGTTCGCGATTCTCCATTTGATTTACACAAAGAGTCACATCACCACGGCATCACTTTTCTCACTTTACTAAAGGGTGATACGGTCAAAATTTGGTCAAGGGAAAACGCGTGTAAATCGGTGAAATAGTTTATTTAAAAAATCAAATTAAATTTCTTTTTCAAGTTCAATTAGTATAAAATTCTGGAAAAATATTCAGTTAGGCTTCCGCTTTTCCAAATCCGAATTGCCGGGCCTTACGCTTGACCCCTGCCATCAGATTTTGTACAGCCACCTTGTCCACCTTCTTCGCCGCAGAAAGCCAGTTTGCCTTGAACTGCTGCTCGCCCTTAGCAGTTTTTTTGGTCTTCTTTAGGTTCCGCTTGACAATAGCCCAGTATTTCTCAATTGGCCGGAGCTCTGGCGTGTTGAGAGGGTTCTTGTCCTTGGGAACCACCTGCACGTTGTTGGCGGCGTACCACTCCATGGCCTTTTTACCGTAATGGCAAGATGCCAAATCCGGCCAAAACAGTACGGAACAACCGTGTTTCTTCAGGAAAGGCAGCAGACGTTTATTCAAACACTCTTTCACGTAAATTTCTTGGTTGACAGTCCCGGAAGCTATGAAAATGCTGCTTTTCAAGCCACAGGTACAGATGGCTTGCCAAACCAGATATTTCTTTGCGAACTTTGACAGTTTCATGTGCTTGAAAACATCTGCTACCTTTCCCCTTCCTTTTGCCGTATAAAACTCCTGTCCCGGAAGCTGCTTGTAGTTTGCTTTGACGTAGGTTTCGTCGTCCATTACCACGCAGTCAAACTTCGTCAGCATCGTCGTGTACAGCCTCCGGGATCGCGCTTTGGCCGTCGTATTTTGTTTATCATCGCGATTTGGAGTCACTACCTTCTTGTAAATCGATAGTCCGGCTCGTTTTTTGGCTCGATGCACGGTTGTAGACGATACACCCAGCTTATTTGCGGCATCTCGGAAAGAGAGGTTAGGGTTTCGCTTGAAACTACCGGCAACTCTCTTTGTCGTCTCAGCGGCTTCCGGTTTTCGATTTCCCCCGATCTAGACTTCCTTGCTGTCGACAAACGTTCTCCAAACACTTTAATTACATTTGTAACGGTTGATTTGGCAACTTTTAGCGATTTTGCCAACTTTGCGTGCGAGTAGCTCGGATTTTCGCGATGCGCGAGCAAAATTTTGATACGCTGCTCTTCTTGCTTGGACGACATTTTGACAACTGAAGAGTGAATTCCAAAATCAAAATAGGAGCAACATTCTACACACACACACCTTCAAAATGAGGGGTGTTCAGGTTTTTTAAATGCAAAATTGAAAGAAATACGTCAAGTTGATATTGACCAAATTTTGACCGTATCACCCTTTAGTGACAAAAGTCACTTTGACTCTCGGATAATCCCCAAAGACTACGAATTTTTTATTCAAAGACTGTATTGTCCTTACGAAAAAAAAAACTGATCGAAGAATTTACTGATAGGGTAGAGAACTACTTCGGCCTAATCGCCCATTTTGGGCCTATCGAGCAGAAAACTTCAAATAAATCCATGATTTCAGAGTTAACAAGTCAATTATGCGTTTGGTACGATACTTTAGCTAATAAGCTACCGAACGAAGTCAATGAGAACGCGTGATATGAAGGTTTGCATCCATTATTCCCAAAAACAAAAGAAGCGCTCCGACCGAATCAATTTTTAACTTCATCAGATAGGCCGAAGTGAATTCAATTGCGTTTCAAAGGCGTTTCAATGCGTTAGGCCGAGTTTAGCATCCGTAGGCCGAGTTTGGCGTCAAGAAGCAGTGTTAGATTTTTGACAATATATCTCAACGATTGGTTTCTCTTTATCAAATCTTTTGGTACGTACGGAGAGGTAAATAAATTTGGAAGCCATCAGTAATACACCCCTATTCTGTATTTCCTTTTGAACGAAATTCTCATACCAAAAAATATTTTTTTGTATGAGGATTTCGTTCGAAACGAAATACAGAATAGGGGTGATAATAACATTTCATTTGGTTCTAAACTACGCTAGATTAAGAAGGACTAAGTGCGGGTTGTGCTTAATAGGCCGGAAATGGGGTATTTAACCCTAGTTCTTTTTTTCTCTTCTCTCGCAAATGCACCGTACCATCACAATTTACTCGCGATTTCGGAGGGTAATATCAAGGAAATTTATTTAAAATAAAACCTTTCCTCTTAGTTTCTACTGGAATTGATATATTTGTTCACTTCGAATCGCAGCTAACTTACGACTTCGGATTAGTGGTGTGAAGGTAATAAGATCACAAACCGACATGACACTTAATTCAGTGATCCGAACTGTCAAAACCATACGATTTTTTGATCTAGTTAAAAATAATTTGTTCAGAATAGATCAGACACGAACCAATTCATAACTTTTGTTTTCGGGTTCATGGCTTAGCTAAATATTTCCCGCGAACTCGGAGCCAGATGTCATTAGTGTGCTTTGGTCAGACATGTTTATTGTTTTTTTCTATGGTCATTCATGTCGGTTTGTCGGTGATAAGATGTTGAAATTTATAATTGAAAGAACACACCCTTTGCCGAAAACTTAAGGCGACCAGTCATAAAGCACACCAAATACGAACTAGTTTTTTATACCAGGTCTTCTCCGGATCATTTCGAAAATATCTTCTCCTGATTTTTCATTTTTGTTGTCCTACTATTGTTCTGAGACTATGCTTATAAGAGTAATTCATGCTGAAAAGAAATACACATGGATTATTGTATATTTGTTGCAAGAATACAAAACTATAATAAATGATTACTCTGACAGCTTATGTTCGTTTATACTGATTTAATTTTATTTTTTTTGACGAATTTGAGACTACTTTGATCACTTTTGAGTAATTATGAGTTACTCAAATTTACTCGCTGTGAAAATATTAACTCTGAGTGCAGCCGTCTTGCCCCTAGGGGATTATAAACAATGTTTGACCATTTTTGGTAAGTTCAAGTAATGATTCTCATTTATGCGGGTTTCCTGTTTCGTATTTCAGACCATCATCGAGCTCTCGGAACGCGGTGGTGGAGGCTTTGAACCGACCGCTTTCTGCTCGGCCTGCTTGGTCCGGCGTCCGGTCCGATCGAAGCACTGTTCCGTGTGCGATCGGTGCGTAGCCCGTTTCGACCATCACTGCCCGTGGGTTGGAAACTGTATCGGTAAGTCCTGATTTTTGAAAACTGTATTTAAGTATATATTTTTTCCTGTGTATCTCTCAAAAAGGGTTTCTTTTTCTGGTTTGGGTATTTTGACTTCAATGTGTTTACTTAAAAAACACCCGGAAAATGAAACACTACACTCGGAGAAATCCGCTTTTGGTTTTCAAGTGTTTTGAATTTCGATTATGAATATAAATATTTTAAAAATTGAAACGTTTTAGGTGCAAAAAATCACAAATACTTTATGGGATTCCTCTGGATGCTGATGGTCATGTGCGGTTGGATGTTGTACGGGGGAGCAAATTTCTATGTGCAGGCTTGCAACGTCAACATGGATGAAGGTAGGTTTTTTTTTTACAAAATGCTCTCTGCTTAAAAATGTTGAGAAATTCATGATTCAAAGTATTATCAGGTCTCTGGAATGCCATCGTTGCCATCGGTTCCTGTAATCCGTGGGTCGGCTGGGTGATGGCCAATGCGCTGCTTCACATGTCCTGGGTAACGGTCCTAACGATTTGCCAGACCTACCAGGTCGTGTGCCTGGGAATGACAACGAACGAGCGAATGAACCGAGGTCGCTATAAGCACTTCCAGGCCAAGGGTGGCAAGAGTCCCTTCACCCGGGGTCCTATCAAAAATCTGTTCGACTTTATGGAATGCGGCTGTTTCGGAATTGTTCAACCGTTGAAAACGGATTGGATGCAATACTTTGACTTCGATAAGCACGTGGAACATGAACCACTGCTGCGGCCGGATAACTTTCAGTACGTCTGAAGACAGCGAACGGAAACTACGGCGGGAAAAGCTGATATCGAAGAAAAAGCAGAAGGTAAGAAAACCGCAACTGGAACTGGAATTGGAGTCGGATCTGAAACGACAGGTAATCGAGAGGATGCTCCAGAACGGTTTGAAGAGCAAATTGATCTAACGACGGTTGCTGTCGTTACTGAGATAGCTATGGTTTAAAGGTGTGTGCCAGGTCGGCCCTTGCTGTTTGTTTTACTTTAACGGTTGCTTCTCGCTGCTAGTTTTGTCTTATTTATTATTTCAGGGTGTGATTTTACTTATCACAGCAAACGGAAGAACAAAGAAAGGCTTTAGCTAGGCGTGGTAAGGTATGTTTAATTGAGTGTGCTTAAAGTGTGTAGAAACCTGCGGTGGAAATTGATTCAACAACAATGTGAAGAAAAGACACAACAAGTATATATATAATATGAATTATATATATTTGGTATATATCACAGATGGATAGTGCAGATGTTTAAGCAATAGACTAATAAAATTTAGCACATTAGATAGAATGTAAATGTTTTTCCAAAAAGTAGTTTTAATCAAAGTATGAACGTACTCGTTTTCATTTTCTTTTTCCATAGTCATTATAGTTCTATCCATCAAATGTACATTCGTTTGTAGAGGCAGAGAAAGCTCAAATGCCTTTCCAACTGTGTAAAGACACCAACCTGAATATATAGCGCAATACATTGTGGAAATGCTTGAATTAGCCTTAGCGACAGTCAATTGACTTAACATTTTTGTTTTTGAGCTACTGAATTACGCCTTTGTCCAAATTTTTAGTTCTTTTACAATAGACTGATAGTCGGGTCAGTTTCGCTAACATTTCACCATTTCAGTGAATTTTGTGTGTGATTGAAACAATTTCCTTGAACACCACCTTGCACCGCTAACGGAAGAAGAAATGATTAGTAAGTAAGTGTTTAAAACATACATCTATCCATAGAATGTAAGGGCATACATAATGTTGCTGTACCTAACTCGTAAGACATATTGTGCTGTTAAACAGAAAGCTAACATGTTTACTCCATGAATCCGGAATAAAAAGCAAACAAACGGGAAATCCAACTCTTCCTCGTCGTAGTTCTTTAGAAGAATAGAAAAGACCGATAGCACAGTGATCGCTGCAAACTTCAATACGTATTAACTAATGCTGCAATTTGTCCATGTTTGAACGTGAGAAATAGTGAAACGACACGAACACTGTTTAATTGATTCCACACAGAACGCAGAGCAAAGCGAAATCGGTGCCGTTCGACAATCAATAGACTGGCTTTAGGTTTTGAAAATTTCAACACCATTGCTTCTGAACTTTCTGCGCTTGAGGCCTCTGGTAAAAAATATATAAACAGTCCAATACCAAATTCATCGAAATTATTAATTCACATTGCATTTACGATTCGCCGAGAAAACAAAAACGAACAGAAAAGCCTATTTGTCCAACGTTACACAGTCTAGTCATGTATGTAAGTTTTACACAGTAGAACCGGGTGTGAGTTATATGGATTGATCAAATATCAGAACTTTGCAGAAACTTTAAACAGAATGGAAAATAAATAGTTCAGATTTGTTGCTAGTTTATAATGCTGAAATATCACCACAGTAGATCGTGAAGATCCCCACCCAGATTTTTCCCCTATTAATGACCGATAAGATAAAAAAAATCACACATTTTTCGAGAAGCAAACTTTGTAAAGTATAAAACTGTAAAGTGTATCAAAAATAGCCAAAACAAAAGGCAACATTAAATCGAACTAAACGACACCATTTAACGAAATCTGCAGCACTCGATAGGAAAAGGTTATAACATTTATCCACGAATAAAAGAAAACATTATTTGTACCCCCAGTATGTACATGTAAAAATCATAGAGTAAAAATCCCGACTGCAAGTCCACAATTTGACCTAATTATATCGAACGTAAATTCATTACACAGAGAAGAAAAAATATATAAATACAAAGTTCTACACTTCTATCCGCACATTGATTGCACACGCGTATGTGTATAAGTTAAATAAACATAAAAATCATATCTCGACCTTCGTTTCAATTGTCAGAGAAACTCATGATACTACGTTCTTATAGCATTATTCAGAACAAGCGTAAGTGTTCCAGGTATGATGACCTGGTGTTTCTATTATATCTTCCAATATACTTGAGATTACCCCATGCCATAACAGCAACACATCACAATCTGAACATATTGACAAATCTAAAATAGTTACCCAGCATATTAATATCCGAAATTTCCATTGTGGTAAATGTACGTTTGTATTGCAGAGATGTTACCACCGACAAACCGACATGAATGACCATAGCAAAAACAATAAAAATGTCTGACCAAAGCACACTAATGACATCTGGCTCCGAGTTCGCGGGAAATATTTAGCCTAGTATTTAGCTAAGCCATGAACCCGAATACAAAAGTTATGAATTGGTTCGTGTCTGATCTATTCTGAACAAATTATTTTTATCTAGATCAAAAAATCGTATGGTTTTGACAGTTCGGATCACTACACATTTAAATCGACCGTTCACGATTTTCGGACATAAGACAGAATTAAGTGTTATGTCGGTTTGTCGGTGATGTTACTACTAAATTATACGGGGGAAACTTTAGATACTATAGATTCCATAGATAAGCGGAGGCATAAAAAATGTTTTTGGTAACCATCAAAAATAAATGCTCTTACTGGCATTCGTGAAAACTGCCATCATAGACTTCTCTGACGTTTGTGAAATGCACAAGTATTAGTGCAGAACTTAGGGTAAATTATAAGTATTAGTGCAAGAAAACCTTTCAATTCACCCAAAGTTCTGCCAAGTTGTGCAATTCATAAACGTCAGAGAGCTCTTCGTTGTGCAATTTTGTTGTGTTTTGTGCGCAAAATTTCAAAATGAAGTGCAAAGCAAACCTTTGCAACAATAAATCAAGGAGTGATTTATGAAATATTTCCTTTTTCCGTTTTCCGCGAAATAATTCGAAATGTGGAGTGTGGAAAGCGTTTTGTGCTCAATATTACAATACTTCCCCCACAAAATACACCATGATGATGTCACCGACAAACCGACATGAAACCAGTGATGGAAAAGTTCGCGAAAAATAACTATGACTCACGAACTTTTCCCTTGGTGAACTTCGTGAAATATCGCGAACTTTTCCAACACTGCATGAAACTTAAACTTAACTCTTGATCGAGAATCCATAACGGCGGATTCATATGTGCAGCGATCCCATCTGTCAAAACCATAGAAATTTGTTATCTAGATAAAAATAATTTGCACGGAATAGATTAGACACGAACCAACTCATACATTTTATATGCGTGTTTGTGGCTAGGATACACAATTTTCGCGAACACGGCGGCAGATGTCAGTTTTGTGCTTTGATCATAAATTTGATCATACTTTGTATGATCATTCATGTCGGTTTGTCAGTGATGACGTCATGCTCGTTTGGCTACACACGAGCATGGCGTCATCATGGTGTTGTTTGAGGGAGAAACACAAAACGCTTTCCACACTTCACATTCCGATTTATTTCGCGGACAATGGAAGAAGGAAAGATAAAAGCAAACCATTCCTCGATACATTTTTGCAAAGATTTGTTTTGCACTTCATTTTGAACTTTTACGCACGAAACAAAATAAAACTGCACAACGAAGAGCTCTATGATGGCATGAACTTTTATTTTCCATGGTTACCAAAACAACTTTTTGTGCCTCCGCTTATCTATGGAATCTATATACTATCTATAGTATCTATCCAACTTTCCACACAGCAACAAAAAATGTAATATCGATCAATGTAATTCAAGCTGATGTATGAAATAATGATGTAATAGCAAAAAGCAGATACAATATTACATCAATGGATGTAATTTTGTTCGCAAAATTGATGTACATCGTACAACGTTATATTACACAACCGATGGATTGACCTGGTTGCAGCAGTTTAGATGTAATATTCAACAACTTTTTTTTCTGTGCATGCTCGGTAATGGCGGCCTGTTTGTATGAATAAATGTATCCTTCACTGTGCTTTTTGACACTATCTGGATGTTCGAATTTCAATCCCTTCCCTTTCCCTCTCACAGGAACAGAAGAAAATGGAACAACATACGCCCTCCAGTTAGTGTCAAAAAGCACAGTGAAGGATACATTTATTCATACAAACAGGTCGCCATTACCGAGCATGGAAAGCTGGATACACTGTAACCGCAAAACACCCAATATTGACTATAAAAGACTCGATATTGACTACAAAGTAAGCATTTTCGAGGGAGACTGGGACTACATATCAGTGCTAACATTTGAAAACGGCGCAAAAGCCATTTGTAAACAAATGGTTTGTGGGCCCTTTACTCGCTACCCGAAGAACGCCCACGCAAACCAACAGCATCGTCAGGAAGGGGAAAATTTCCCCTACCCGATGTTGCTGTTGTGTCACGTGGGTGTACTTCAAGTAGTGAGTAAAGGGCCCACAAACCATTTGTTTACAAATGGCTTTTGTGCCGTTTTCAAATGTTAGCACTGATATTAAATGAGTAAAAATATTACCCATTTATGAGTATTTGCTACTAAAAAAAAAAAAAATTACTACCTGTTTTTGGAGTTGTCATAATTCATATATGTGTAAAATTTTACTCACATAATGGGTAGTCCCAGTTTCGCTCGAAAATGCTTACTTTGGAGTAGTCATTATTCGGTATTTTGCGGTTACCGTGTAGGGGAAACTACCCTAATAAAAAATAACCATAAACGAACGATAACCCAAATCATTGAACTATTCCACAAATGGTTTGGATGATACCCAGAACACGTCGTTAAACAAATTAACCATACAATTTTTATTAGGGTAATGTTACGACTGTTGTATCACTTAAGGGCCACCCACATTAGATCCGTTTGCGTTGCGTTGACGTAAATTTGACAGTTAGACAATAGATTTAGCTAAGAGGAAGAGGTGACAATTGGCTTCTTCCTCTTTTATTTCTATCTCTATCTCTATCTTTATCTATCTCTATCTTACGCACTTGAAATCGGCCAATCTGGAGCTGGTTCACGTTTGACAGAAAAGTGGTTCATTTTCGCCCCCGTATTGTCACCTCTTCTCTTAGAGATTTAGCTGCCACTTTGCCACAACTCGACCGATCCGGATCTAATGTGCACGCTTATCCTGGTCAACTCAAAATTGAGTCGAATGTACTCATCTCAGCGGCAAGTAGGACTACTCAAAATTGAGTAGCCTTATGTTGACTCAATTTTGAGTAAACTACGTTCTCACGTAGACTGAGTCAAATCCTCTCAGCGATATTTTCAGTTACGGGGAGTGTTTTTGTTTTGATTTTTATTTAAGGAAATGGAAATTTCCTGCTCCGGATCCATTCTTACCTGAAGGCATTTCAGCCGGTTTTGAGTAACTTCTCCTAGGAAGTTTCCTCCAACATGGTTTACATTTTTTCTAAGTCCAGGATTTTGCTGACTGAGTGGCTTTTACTCAGTTTGACATTTCTCGTTTACTCAGTTTTTGACAACTCGATACATCGAACGAAAGTGAGTACGATCGACTCATCCGGTGAGTAAGCTGAAGTTAGCGTGTGCGTGAGCCTTTATAGTCGCTATATTCTATAGTCTGGCGGATAGAATCTCGGGAACCAATTGAGCTGTCAAATAGCGGAACCAATCGAGTAAATCACGATCAACAACAGAAAAGAGCCATCAGCTATTGCGAACAAAATTTCGGAAACCGTCTTCTCGTGACTAAAGGCTCGCCTACACAAACTAACGCCATCTTTAGTTTAGAAAGTTTCCCCTATCCGATGATGCTGGTAATTTACCTTCGATTGTCGAAGAAAGAATAATCAACGTTTTGTTTATAAAAGTTGATAGTACGTTTTCAATTGTTGGTCTACAATATATTGAAATGGTTCCGCTTTTGATAGATCGATATTCTATCCGCCAGGCTATGAATATAGCGGCTATACACGCTATTTCAAAACTACCCAGAGACGATATTTAATAAGAGACGTGCGAAGACTGAAGCCAAAAGATCCAATTGAACCATCAAACGCGGTTCCAATCGAGCAACGTAAATAAACACGGTTTTCAAGACTCCGAGACTATAACCATAGAGGTAACTCTAAGACCACTGGGTCCCGAAGAAAATCATTATTATTTTTGGCTCACTCAGTACCAGAACAACGGTCCCAAGCAGTCCCAAGCTATTTCACTCACCCCTGCATGTTCTGCATGAATCCACACACCCCTGATGTTATCTGTCAAACTTTCATAGCGAATCAAAACAAACATAGTGTAGTACTAGAATTTCGACTAGAATGGGGCATCTTAATCGTTTGCTTGGGACCAATAGGCTACTAAAGTGGTGAGCCAATTTAAAATCGTTAGTTTCGTATTGATTGTTGCTATAACCATAGAGGTAACTCTAAGACCAGAAGGTCCCGAAGAAACGTGCTCAACTTTTTGGCTCAGCTCTAGTACTATCTTCGGTCCCAAGCTAATCCTTGCACCCCCCGAAACATAGGAAAATCCACGAACCCCTCATTTTACCTGTCAAACTTTCATATCGAATCAAAATAAATATTATGTAGTACTAGAATTTCGACTAGAATGGGGTACGTTAATCGTTTACTTGGAACCAATAGGCTAGTCAAGTAGTGAGCCAATTTAAAATCGTTAGTTTCAACCGGTTGCCAGAGCTGAGCCAAAAAGTTGAGCACGTTTCTTCGTGACCTGCTGGTCTTACAGCTACCTCTATGATAAAAGTCTTTACGAGATTTAAAATCTGGCATTTCTGATAATAACGAATTGTGGATTGTGATTGTGGATTCTATCAATCTTGTTCTTAAAATCTTTTTATAGACTTCTCTGACGTTCGTGAAATGTACAAATTTGAAGAACTTGGGGTAATTTATACGTATTAGTGCAAGAAAACCTTTGAATTCACCCAAAGTTCTGCACTAATACTTGTGCAATTCATAAACGTCAGAGAAGTCTATACACTCGAAAATAAAATTAATCAAAAAGCTTAAAAAGTATGCAGATGATTACCTTATGTCATGCATGATTAAATTCGAAATATCTTTCCAGTATTAAATTTTATTCTCTTTGAATATTAATATTTAATCAGAATAGATTAAAATTCAATCAAAAATTATTAAAATAGAATAAAAAATTATTAAAATTTATTCAAGGAAGATAATTTTCAATCTAATCAATCATGATTAAACTGGGTTTAATATCAGATGGTTATTGTTTAGAAAAAGAGTATTAATTTTTAATCATTCGATATGAACCTCAGTTTAGTTAATGTCAAACTGATTAAATTTCAAATAAAATGGGAATAGTTTAATTTATTAGTGTACATTCAAAATTATTACTATTCAAAGATTAAAATTTAATCTTTTTATGATTTACCAATGTTTATACACTCAAAAAATATTGAAATCTAAATAGTATAAAAGCTACGCTAAATCGCAACTCTCCGTACCGACGCAAAGGTCGGTATAAAGGGAGAGAATGCAAACTTAGTATAAAAATGGTTTATGCGTTCCGTAGAATAAAATTGAAATATACTTACAATGCATAGATACGGTTTATTCGAGAGAATGTATTTTTCGCTTCTTAATTTTATTTATGGTAAATATTATTGTTTTCAAATCAAAATTAAAATTGTCTCAGGAAGGTTTTTTAATTATTTTATTTTTATGAATATTATTAAAAAATACATACCTTTTCGATGTTCATTAGAATGAACTCGTGCTTACGCAGTCTAGCTGCCCAGCTGATCACATGCGCTGTATAAATCCGCCGGGACGAAGCTCTTCACCAGCACGAAGCTCCGAAGTGAATCCAGATGATCTTTTTGCTATCATTTTAGTAAACACTGATCGAATTCCACTCCGTTATTCGGACTTAGTATAATTTTGACGAAAATTTTAATCGAACCGATGTATAAATTTTGAAAATCCATAAAATGCATAAATTTTAATCTATATTCGTTTTATAATATTTTTGAGTGTACATTGGTCAGAATAAAATATGATTTCATAATTATACTAAGGCCGAATGAATAACCACAGACAAACAGACATAAAACTCGCAAGTTGTTCATCGAACAAGCATTTAACAGACAATTTAAAAGTATCGTAGTTGGTAGTACCACCACCTGTGGCGTACATAGTCAATTCCCTTGGGTTTGACGTTTACACACTACCGCCATCTGTTCAGTGTAGTGCCCACCACAGTGTACTCAACAGATGGCGGTATTGTTTTAGCGACGATGTTTTACAGTGGGAAATATTCAACGTGTTATGTCTGTTTGTCTGTGGAATAACAATGTATACCAAAGTACACACGTCATGACAAACTCGATGATACCGTTCTCACATCAAACCTTTTTTTTTAATTGTTTCGATAGGTCGTTTGATAATCTAAAGAGCAGAGTAAATGTTTCTGAATTATTTAGAAATAAAATGAAAAACAGGTAAATACTGTAAAAAAACAAATAATAAATTTTTAGTCTTTATGTTCAAGATTTCTACAAATTGTTGCCCACGGAGGAGGTGCCATCGGATGAACCGGGACGATCAGAACTAGCGGTAAATGCAACTATACAGAAGAAAATCACTGTCACAACGTAACAAGTTGAATCAGAACAACATGAAGTGGTTTCCTAGAAGTTGGTACTGATACGGGTATTTTACCAGCTGGTTCACTAGCGGATTGTGCATTTTAAGTGTCATGTCAATGACATCCAAAAGATATCGAGTGAAAAGCGGTCCTACAGGACATTTAATTCATAAGTTCTTTTGAATTAAATTATCCTGCACCTATTGCTGCGTCCCTACCGCTGCCACTGGGAGAACTTTCAAGATCGATTAGCACGATTCTGCAGCATGGATCTTGGTTTACACGAATGAGGAACCGGCACGCATGTTCAGGTAGGGTTTAATAATCAGACATCATAAAAAAATCAATGAACTCAATCTTTTTCAAATCCAGGTGAATATTTTTAACTACATGGAGGAGATGTCCGTGTGAAAAGAACCGAAATCACCAGAACCAGTCACACTATTATCAGGACCGCTGCACATCACTACTTCGAGGCTGTTCGTTCGTGCAACTCCAATGTCACGGTAATCTTTTCCACCAAACACCAACCAATCCGGGAACCGGATCCACAACAAGAGGAAGTTGAAGAACAGAATTAAATATTTAGTCAGAAGTTGCTAATGGAATTGGAACTCATACCGTCCCCGTTAGGAATCGTATTATGTTCTTCTATATACATTGCAGAAACTCCTACTGGAGAGTTCACGATCAATTGTACTGCTTAGCTGTTATAAATGTTTTTATTTTAATATATTTATAATCTCGAGAAAACTTGTTATTTTAAAATAATAATATTGAAATGAAAATAGAACTAAAACAAAAACAATGCACTCTTCCAAATAAATCGAATGTATACATTGCAAGAATATTCCTTTCTTATACTATCCCTAATAAAAATTGTATGGTTAATTTGCTTAACGACGTGTTCTGGGTATCATCCAAACCATTTGTGGAATAGTTCAATGATTTGGGTTATCGTTCGTTTATGGTTATTTTTTATTAGGGATGGCTTGCATAATTCATTTTTATACTAAGTGTGTATTCTCTCTCTTTATACACAGCAAAAAAAGTTGTTGAATATTACATCGAAACTGCTGCAACCAGGTCAATCAATCGGTTGTGTAATATCACATTGTACGATGTACATCGATTCTGCGAACAAAATTACATCCATTGATGTAATATTGTATCTGCTTTTTGCTATTACATCATTATTTCATACATCAGCTTGAATTACGTTGATCGATATTACATTTTTTTTTGCTGTGTACGAAGCTATGCGTCGGTAAGGAGAGTTGCGATTTAGAGTAACTTTTAATCTATTTAGATTTGAAAATCTTTTGAGTGTACATATGTTTTGCTTCAGTGTTAGTAATTTTTCATCATAATAACTTTTTAATTTCTTTTTAGTGTGCATCTATGGCGCGTAATAAACGTACAGTGAGTTACAGTGTATGGAAAATCACTTATTATCAGTGAAATTCGTGCTTCGATATCCCATAAAAATCGCATTTGATGCATATGTAATAAAACGTGTAACTATATCCTGGAATTTTGTAATAAAAACCTCAAAATCGGTGAGTTAATTTCATGTTTTCCTTGAATCCGTTGATCATGCTGCTGTTTCACTTTCATCTTGGTTCCCTTTGATTGTTTTTGTTGGTGTTTTTTTTTGTTTGCCTGACGTTTCTCGCTGTCAATCATTTTCTGGGGTGGCGTTTGCTGGTTCGGTCATCATTTTTGAAGCTTGTTTTTATTAGGCCTAATTGTTTTGTGTTTCTGATTGTGTAATTCCGGTGTATAATAAATCGATAATAATGCCGGCTGATATCTTGGGATTTGCTTATGCGGCCACGGTTGCCGCTGGCGGTGTTTTGGGCTACGTTCGAGCAGGTATTTATATATGAAATTTCATTATAGTCTCATGCTACCTCCATGCGGATTCAATGAGTGTTACCAACTTTCACTTTTCTCGGTTCTGATTGATTATCACTGACAAGGTTCCGTTCCATCGTTGGCTGCCGGTGTCACATTTGGCGTCATTCTGGGATACGGTGCATTCCTGACGTCCCAGGAACCACCACGGCCGTTGCTACAAGTCGGCACGTCGCTGGTGTTGGCCGGAATGATGGGTGCCAGGTGGGCCCGTTCCGGCAAGTTTATGCCACCGGGAATTGTGTGCGTCCTGTCCTGTGCCATCCTGGCCCGTGGTCTTCTGTTCCACAATCGCTACCTGCCGTTGATCGGTAAGAGCGATTAAAGGGGGAGTTGCAAGGCGGAAATTCGGTACAAAATAAAACGGAATGCATTGGTGAGGGTATTTTTTTTAGTATGGATTAAGATAATAAAAATATAGATTTGACAGAAGCGTCGTTTATTTGAGTGAAGAAAGTCTGGGTTTTCGGAATTGTTGCTGCAATTACTGTGCTATAAACATTTTTATTCAGGTTTCTGAAATCTTAAGAGAGTCACCATTTTATGATTTGTGAATATTCACTCTTCATGAAAAGTGAATACACACCGATCCAAAATCGCTCGCTGTGAAATTGACAGCTTTTATATGTCTAACACATACTTTTACCACTTCTTATTGTAACTTACAAGTTTAAAACATCATTATACCATACCATCTCAGGCATAACATTTGATAACGGCACAAAAGCATTTGTAAACAAACATTCTAAGGCCCTTTACACGCGAACTAAAGTACGCCCACGCAAACCAATACCACTTACAGAAAGGTGATAGTTGCCCCTATGCGATGATGTTGTTGGTTTGCGTGGGCGTACTTTGGTTCGCGTGTAAAGGGCCTAAGAAGGTTTGTTTACAAATGCTTTTGTGCCGTTATCAAATGTTATGCCTGATCTAATGGTTTAATAATCCCCTAAAACATTGTTTTATAACAAATCAATGGCAGCAACCCTGGTTTTCGGATCAGGTTCCTAAAATGATGAACATTATCTATAGATATACTTTATTGGTCATTGTCCTTAGAAGCTAAAATTTTATTACAAAAATAAATCGTTCAAAAAACCGGAACGACTATTCGCTTTTGTTGTACGCTTAGTTGGTAGCTGTTTTCGTCAATGTTGGTTCAAATCTCTACACCCGGTGTTAATCTGTTTGTCTCATCGTTGTCGCTTAGCATAAACGGATGATAGAACCATGGAAGTCAATGGTATCCTTTGCCGCCTACTCAGGGGCACCCAAGAGATAGATTTCATGTGTAAATAGATGTGAAATATACTTCCTCCCTTGTAAACTTAGCTTGAGCATAATTTTAGTTGGAATGACACAGGCAACACTTTTTTTTCAGGGTTTAAATTTCGTAAGTAGATTTCCACGAAACACAAAACAAACAAAAAGTAACGTATAGTCACACAATTCTCTTAAGAATAATTCGATTCACAGTGATCGAATCGCCGGTCCGCGCTCGGTTATCCACTATAGAACAAACATAGCCTAACCGTAGAAAAAAGGTACTAAAGCTAACAAAATATGAATCTTTGAATGGGTTCTTCTAATCATCCGCTACTCTCTTCTCTTCGTGTTTTCCTCCTGCTCGCTGTATTATGTGATGTGTGTGTGTGTGTGAGAGAGAGTGTGTATGTGATGGCCGATTGGATGTGAGTTCAGGTGAGCCGGGGCCAATTCGAAGACGAAGGAATAAGGGACGATTTAGTCGGCGTGGGGCGATGATTTGGATGAAGTTGAGCTTGGTGACGGTGTTGTTGATGACACGATCCTTCGAAACTAAGAGTACGGTATCGCTTAGCTGAAGAAGCCCCAAATCGTAAAGACCAGCTTGTACAGCACTAGAAGCGCAATCACCTTGGTAGCTTGGTGCAGCCAGTATAAACTACAAATGAAAGAGAATGATTAGTTTGATTATTCTGACAATGATAACGAGCAATCTTGGGATATCCTACCGATTCCATCGGACGAGAGCTTCCGGGACGGTCTCCATTGGATCATTCAGCAGGTACTGCCGGATGCCGCAGAAGTACTGTTCCAGGAAGAAATCCCAGTTGATTTGGCGCATGTCGAAGAAGAACACCTTCTGATCGGCCCGGGATAACTTCCGCCACAGGGCGTTGATGTTGTCCAGCTTGAAGTCCCACTGGCGCATGGAGAAGTACTCGATCACGTCCATGAAGCGGTGGATTTTCTTGTAAGTACGCATGAGCCTGTGGATGGGATGGGGGATATGATTGTAGCCCGTGATGTTGTTTGAATGAAAAAAAAAAATACTACGACTAACGATCTGATTATACGACACTCATCTGATTTGGTTCAACGAAACACGCATCATCACGATTTATGTGATCGTAAAATTAGCAGTATGTTTTTTGCAACGTGAAAGCTTCCTGTTATGCGCTATGAGAGAACATTGTTTTGAAGCTACTAAGAATTGTAGCTTCGCGAGAAAGCGTTAAGCTTTTGTTTGATTTGATTATGCGAACTGCTTCTAGACACGCCACGCTATAACATTGTTAAATTAATTTATCCATTATTACCTATCGCTTTGTTTACCAATTCGTTAACTACTAACAATTGTATATTTCCTTGAAATCGTACATTCAGTATAATTTCATAATCAGATTTGTAGCTCTAATGCAAAGTTTATCAGAGCAACTTCTAGTCAGTTCTCACATTTTATCCAAAGTGTCCACATCCATTAATCTAATTGGACTTCTTATTTTCAATATGTGTATCAGTTAAAATGTGTTGTATTGATTTGAATAATTAATGTGTGGTTTGCTAAGCAAAGGGATTTGGCGGTGCGGTACGAGTACAGCAGCAGACTGGAGGACATCGAAGTTCGCAGTCAACACCTATATGGAAGTAGAAGATCTCTGGGAAGCAGATGCTCGAAATTGGGTACTAGATATGCTGAAGTTCGTTCACTTCAGAGAAGTGAAAACTGCGGCCGAACTGTGGAAGAAGTTAACAAACACCTTCGGGAACACTGCATAGCCCCCAACAGCTCACTACTAACAATTTGGCATTCTGTGGCTCAACTTAGACTTACATAAATCGGAAGATATCTACCGCTCATCAGCTAATTGAAATCGCTTTTCCTCTAGCTAGACGCGGTTGGCAGATCTTCGCAACACTCAAAAATAAATTAAATCAAAAAAGCTTTAAAAGTATGCAAATTCCCGCTTCACCTTATTTAGTCCGAGCCATGATTACTTCGGTCTGTCATGCATGATTAAATTCGAAATAATCACTTGTGATACAAATTCATCGTTGCAGTATTAAATTTTATTTTTTAAGAATATTAATATATAATCTACAGTGATCAAAATTCACTCAACAAAGATTAAAATTCAATAAAAAACGATTAAAATAGAATAAAAAAATATTCAAATGTATTGAAACAAGATAACTTTTAATTTAATCAACCATGATTAAACGGGGTTTAATATCAGATGATTATTTTTTAGCATAGTTAATTCGAAGAGTATTGTCCTATGATAATGATGAATGAATTGGAAAACTTTGAAATACATATTACAGTAGACTTCATCAAGACCACTACAAGAAATCAGGAAGTCCACAGTGTCGTCAAACATATCTGCCTTTTCCTCAGAACTTCTTTGAAGGAAAACTTCAACAAAGTTCCTAGAGGAGTTCAGGGGGAGTTTCAGTGTTTGAATTCAATGAAATTCCAAGGGAGCGATATTCCATGGGAATCTCAGCAAAGTTCTAAGTGAAATTTAGAGTAGTTTAAAGGTTCCTATTCCTTCGGAATTTATCTGAAGTTGAAGGAACTTCTCTGAAGTTCCTTCGAAACGTCTCTGAAGTTTTTGGAAACTTCTCTGAAGTTTTTGGAAACTTCTCTGAAGTTCCTTAGAAACTTATCTGAAGTTCCTTGGAAATTTTTCTGAAGTTCCTTCGAAACTTCTCTGAAGTTCCTTCGAAACTTCTCTGAAGTTCCTTAGAAACTTCTCTGAAGTTCCTTAGAAACTTCTCTGAAGTTCCTTGGAAACTTCTCTGAAGTTCCTTGGAAACTTCTCTGAAGTTCCTTGGAAACTTCTCTGAAGTTCCTTGGAAACTTCTCTGAAGTTCCTTGGAAACTTCTCTGAAGTTTCTTCGAAATTTCTCTGAAGTTCCTTCGAAACTTCTCTAAAGTTCCTTGGAAACTTCTCTGAAGTTCCTTCGAAACTTCTCTGAAGTTCATTCGAAACTTCTCTGAAGTTCCTTCGAAACTTCTCTGAAGTTCCTTCGAAACTTCTCTGAAGTTCCTTCGAAACTTCTCTGAAGTTCCTTCGAAACTTCTCTGAAGTTCCTTCGAAACTTCTCTGAAGTTCCTTCGAAACTTCTCTGAAGTTCCTTCGAAACTTCTCTGAAGTTCCTTCGAAACTTCTCTGAAGTTCCTTCGAAACTTCTCTGAAGTTCCTTCGAAACTTCTCTGAAGTTCCTTCGAAACTTCTCTGAAGTTCCTTCGAAACTTCTCTGAAGTTCCTTCGAAACTTCTCTAAAGTTCCTTCGAAACTTCTCTGAAGTTCCTTCGAAGCTTCTCTGAAGTTCCTTCGAAGCTTCTCTGAAGTTCCTTCGAAACTTCTCTGAAGTTCCTTCGAAACTTCTCTGAAGTTCCTTCGTAACTTCTCTGAAGTTCCTTTGAAACTTCTCTGAAGTTCCTACGAAACTTCTCTGAAGTTCCTTCGAAACTTCTCTGAAGTTCCTTCGAAACTTCTCTGAAGTTCCTTCGAAACTTCTCTGAAGTTTCTTCGAAACTTCTCTGAAGTTTTTTCAAAACTTCTCTGAATTTCCTTCGAAACTTCTCTGAAGTTCCTTGGAAACTTCCCTGAAGTACTTTCGAAACAACTCTGAAGTTTCTTCGAAACTTCTCTGAAGTTCCTTTGAAACTTCTCTGAAGTTCCTTCGAAACTTCTCTGAAGTTCCTTCGAAACTTCTCTGAAGTTCCTTCGAAATTTCTCTGAAGTTCCTTCGAAACTTCTCTGAAGTTCCTTCGAAACTTCTCTGAAGTTCCTTCGAAACTTCTCTGAAGTTCCTTCGAAACTTCTCTGAAGTTCCTTCGAAACTTCTCTGAAGTTCCTTCGAAACTTCTCTGAAGTTCCTTCGAAACTTCTCTGAAGTTCCTTCGAAACTTCTCTGAAGTTCCTTCGAAACTTCTCTGAAGTTCCTTCGAAACTTCTCTGAAGTTCCTTCGAAACTTCTCTGAAGTTCCTTCGAAACTTCTCTGAAGATCATTCAAAACATCTCTGAAGTTCCTTGGAAACTTCCCTGAAGTACTTTCGAAACAACTTTGAAGTTTCTTCGAAACTTCTCTGAAGTTTCTTCGTAACTTCTCTGAAGTTCTATCGAAACTTCTCTGAAGTTCCTTGGAAACTTCTCTGAAGTTCCTTCGAAACTTCTCTGAAGTTCCTTCGAAACTTCTCTGAAGTTCCTTTGAAACTTCTTTGAAGTTCCTTCGAAACTTCTCTGAAGTTCCTTCGAAACTTCTCTGAAGTTCCTTCGAAACTTCTCTGAAGTTCCTTCGAAACTTCTCTGAAGTTCGTTCGAAACTTCTCTGAAGATCATTCAAAACATCTCTGAAGTTCCTTGGAAACTTCCCTGAAGTACTTTCGAAACAACTTTGAAGTTTCTTCGAAACTTCTCTGATGTTTCTTCGTAACTTCTCTGAAGTTCTATCGAAACTTCTCTGAAGTTCCTTGGAAACTTCTCTGAAGTTCCTTCGAAACTTCTCTGAAGTTCCTTTGAAACTTCTTTGAAGTTCCTTCGAAACTTCTTTGAAGTTCCTTCGAAACTTCTCTGAAGTTCCTTCGAAACTTCTCTGAAGTTCCTTCGAAACTTCTCTGAAGTTCCTTCGAAACTTCTCTGAAGTTCCTTCGAAACTTCTCTGAAGTTCCTTCGAAACTTCTCTGAAGTTCCTTCGAAACTTCTCTGAAGTTCCTTCGAAACTTCTCTGAAGTTCCTTCGAAACTTCTCTGAAGTTCCTTCGAAACTTCTCTGAAGTTCCTTCGAAACTTCTCTGAAGCTCCTTCGAAACTTCTCTGAAGTTCCTTCCAAACTTCTCTGAAGTTCCTTCGAAACTTCTCTGAAGTTCCTTCGAAACTTCTCTGAAGTTCCTTCGAAACTTCTCTGAAGTTCCTTCGAAACTTCTCTAAAGTTCCTTCGAAACTTCTCTGAAGTTCCTTCGAAACTTCTCTGAAGTTCCTACGAAACTTCTCTGAAGTTCCTTCGAAACTTCTCTGAAGTTCCTTCGAAACTTCTCTGAAGTTCCTTCGAAACTTCTCTGAAGTTCCTTCGAAACTTCTCTGAAGTTCCTTCGAAACTTCTCTGAAGTTCCTTCGAAACTTCTCTGAAGTTCCTTCGAAACTTCTCTGAAGTTCCTTCGAAACTTCTCTGAAGTTCCTTCGAAACTTTTCTGAAGTTCCTTCGAAACTTCTCTGAAGTTCCTTCGAAACTTCTCTGAAGTTCCTTCGAAACTTCTCTGAAGTTCCTTCGAAACTTCTCTGAAGTTCCTTCGAAACTTCTCTGAATTTCCTTCGAAACTTCTCTGAAGTTCCTTCGAAACTTCTCTGAAGTTCCTTCGAAACTTCTCTGAAGTTCCTTCGAAACTTCTCTGAAGTTCCTTCGAAACTTCTCTGAAGATCATTCAAAACATCTCTGAAGTTCCTTGGAAACTTCCCTGAAGTACTTTCGAAACAACTTTGAAGTTTCTTCGAAACTTCTCTGAAGTTCCTTCGAAACTTCTCTGAAGTTTCTTCGAAACTTCTCTGAAGTTTTTTCGAAACTTCTCTGAATTTCCTTCGAAACTTCTCTGAAGTTCCTTGGAAACTTCCCTGAAGTACTTTCGAAACAACTCTGAAGTTTCTTCGAAACTTCTCTGAAGTTCCTTTGAAACTTCTCTGAAGTTCTTTCGAAACTTCTCTGAAGTTCCTTCGAAACTTCTCTGAAGTTCCTTCGAAACTTCTCTGAAGTTCCTTCGAAACTTCTCTGAAGTTCCTTGGAAACTTCTCTGAAGTTCCTTCGAAACTTCTCTGAAGTTCCTACGAAACTTCTCTGAAGTTCCTTCGAAACTTCTCTGAATTTCCTTCGAAACTTCTCTGAAGTTCCTTGGAAACTTCCCTGAAGTACTTTCGAAACAACTCTGAAGTTTCTTCGAAACTTCTCTGAATTTCCTTCGAAACTTCTCTGAAGTTCCTTGGAAACTTCCCTGAAGTACTTTCGAAACAACTCTGAAGTTTCTTCGAAACTTCTCTGAAGTTCCTTTGAAACTTCTCTGAAGTTCCTTGGAAACTTCTCTGAAGTTCCTTCGAAACATCTATGAAGTTCCTTCGAAACTTCTCTGAAGTTCCTTCGAAACTTCTCTGAAGTTCCTTCGAAACTTCTCTGAAGTTCCTTCGAAACTTCTCTGAAGTTCCTTCGAAACTTCTCTGAAGATCATTCAAAACATCTCTGAAGTTCCTTGGAAACTTCCCTGAAGTACTTTCGAAACAACTTTGAAGTTTCTTCGAAACTTCTCTGAAGTTTCTTCGTAACTTCTCTGAAGTTCTATCGAAACTTCTCTGAAGTTCCTTCGAAACTTCTCTGAAGTTCCTTGGAAACTTCCCTGAAGTTCCTTCGAAACATCTATGAAGTTCCTTCGAAACTTCTCTGAAGTTCCTTCGAAACTTCTCTGAAGTTCCTTCGTAACTTCTCTGAAGTTCCTTCGAAACTTCTCTGAAGTGCCTTCTGAATTTTCCTGAAATTCGCTCGAATGTTTCTAGAAATTCCCTTGGAACTTCCCAGTAGTTCCCACGAAAATTCTCAGATGTTTTCTCAGAACATCGAAGAAGTTTCTTTGGAACTGCCTAGAAGTTCCCTTGAAATTTCCTAGAAGTTACCGCTACATTTTATTTTTATCCTCTGTTCGGGACCTAACACCACTGCGACCAGTAATTTGATCTATTGCAATATATCCCGTGTCCTTAGTTCAGTTAGTCGTATTACTCCATCACTATTGAGAAATGATGAAGTATTCGGTTTTTTAAAGTTGTCATTCTAGCATTTATCGCAAGGATCTAACTCTGATTGAAAGGTCCCGCAATTTATATCCTTCGGAGTGTTGGAACACCCTCCAAAGGTGCACCCCTTTGTCAGTCGAAATTGGATTCCTTAGCAACAAAATTAAGGAATGACACCGATGATGACCATGTATCAGAACCCTAATCATAACCACTTAAAACTAGGGAACAACGAATAGAAGATTAGGAATCACATAGATGAAAACTCTCATTTTTTCCTTCTTTCAAGATCATCCTCGGTGGATAAGTTGTCACTATCATAAAAAGGCATAACAAGTAACAAGGACTAAGATGTGTGTTTTGATTACTGAAAAATCATGTTCCCCTAGTTTGAAGTAGTCAGGACTAGGAATCGGTGGTAGATCTTACATCTAGTAACGTACCACGACAAGGTGATCTACCCACGTTACGCAATTGAGCAATTGCAAATCCTAGATCCAGAGTTGAATACTATGGTCTGAACCTTTTCAAAAAAATTGAAATTGAACCCCCTCTATTAACTACAATGTTGAACTTGTCAGTGATTCCAATTTCCAATTACCGATCTGGTATAATGCCCCGGTCCATAAGATAAGCATCTCACCTTGGTTTCCGTCCGATGAAGAGCGCTATGACGTCGAAGAATATCGCGGGTGCGTAGTGCAGGAACAGTATCGACAGATAGTGCATGACTTTGTTCGGATTGCTCGTGTAGCACAGGTACCAGATCGACTTAACGGTGGGATACATCGAGCCGAATTTGATCGTCGTGTAGGTGAAGTCGCCCCAGGTGATGCAGTTGCTCTTCTCCGTGCAAAAGTTGTACACTGGGATGTCCGGATCGGGCATGATTTCTCTGCGGAACAGAACGGATGTGTTAGAACCAGTGGGCTATTCCCGGAAAGCAGGGAGGGAAATAGTTACGTTCGAAACCGTTCGGCGATGTCCCACGCCGCCGAGATGATACCGTTGACGCACAGATCCACCGGAACCATGTTGGCTACCTTGGTTGGATCGGCTCGGAGCGTTCGTAGCACTCCGGTGCCAGCACCGGCAATCACTCCCGTCGGTCCGTAGAAATTATCGATCCACCCTGGTACCGGTTCCTGGTATGTGGCGATGACTGGAATGATGAGAGACGAAATGGAATTATTGCGTTAATTAATGGAAGGGATGACCTAATTGAACAACTTTCAATGGAAATTCGCTTTCAGCGTGCGTACACCGCCGGACCATATAATCAGCTGTCGGATCGGAATAGCGTGCGGTTCGGTCACGTTCCATCATAGCAGGGAGGACGACACTCACGCGCACGTTATTTATTTTCTTTAAGTGGCTGGCATCGCATTCAAAAAAGAAGCAAGGTGACGACAGCTCGGTATTGGCCATAACGGCACGATATTCACGATTCCGTCGGCGGTTAACTTGTTCCGATACGAAGTTTCGATATGCTGTCGTGAGGGAACTGTCAATTAGGCGCAGTGGACGATTGTGCAAAATTCTTACTATCAATGGTTGCATGTACTTAAATTTTAACACATTAAACTTTCAACCATTCTTTTGGGACGCTTCCCAACTCCTTCTGAATTGATATGCAGTTCGCGTGAATCATCACGGGACAATTTAGGTTTTCGCTACTTCTCTTTCTCCACGTTCGCACGTTCACTGTCGAAATCGTCTGAATTCGGGTGTCGAAGTAACGAGACTACAGAGAGTTGCCGTTGTTTGCGGGTGGAGTTTTAGCCGGTAGCCTTTTGTCTGAATTCCGTAATACCAGGTAATGATGATACCGGTTGTGGTCAGTATTCTTACTATCGAAGATCAGGCAGCTAGGAATTGATAAAAAGGAATACCGACTAAAATCCGCAAACAACGGTACCTCTCTGTACCGTCGCCCGCGGAGGCCATACATCATCATTGGCAGCAGAAGCGCACTCCTCCGCCTGTGTGGTTGTGTTCGTCCGAGGCGTGAGCGGCCCTGCCGGATTCGAGTCATGGTTGTTATGCGACCCACACACGGTCAGACATGTCGTACGACTTGGAGTTTGACCGTGTCTGGGGAAGTTTCACGACCAAATTCAAGTTGATTTTCTGCAGAGCAACATGGGTGGAGCTGCGTGTTGTACAACTTGTTCTATTGTGTGTGGTGATGTCTGACAACACTTTGCAGACTTGATCAGGGTTGCCAAAAGTTTTTCAAAATTAACTGGCAAAAGACACCCAAAAAACATGCCAATTTCTGAACTTTTCAAGATTTCTTTTACAATTTGTTTTACATTTTTAAATGGAAAACTTCACTAAATGTTCTATCCGATATATAAAAATTGATAAATGTCCAATAGAATCAAGTATTTATACCGATTTCCGAAATAGATACCGATACACAGATAAGGTTCCTCAGAATACCGATTTTTGAGATCTATACCGATTTACACTGATTTGTTTAAATAATCAAAATTATTATTGCCTGCCTGCGCTCGAATTTAGGAGAAAATTATTGTGAGAGACTTGATACTTTTAGAACATCTAAAATGTTTTGAGTCTTCAAAAACAAAATCATCTTTAAAAATGTCTAATGCTTGATACTCTTTCGACTAATCTTCCAATTTTTCACCGTTTTCGGCTACCCATGAATCGAGAAACAGTCGATGGCTCTTCCGGTAATTCCTTGGGAATCGAGAAATACTTTTTAAACATTATTTTACTTCCTGAAGCCTGAATTTTCTTCCAACTTTCCCCTTGAATTTTCGTCCATCTTACACCGTAAGTTATTTTTTGATTCCACCCGGAAACTTATTTCGACTCCCCTTGGAAGCTTCTTCAGCCTTCATTCGAACGATCTTCCATCATCTCCTGCCAGTTTTTTCAACTTTCCTGGAACTTCAGGGATGATTCCAGATTTTAATGGATCTGCTACAATTCTAAAACCCGGAAATATCAGGAAAGTACAGTGAACTCCAGTTAACTTAAGGAAACTTCACAAGTCCAAAGAACTTCAGGGAAATTTATTAGTATTCAGGACAGTTTCATTTGTTTCAGGAGAATTGAGCGAAATTTAGGGAAGCTCCGAGAACATCTTGACAGAACAATTAATTTCAAGGAAATTGCTGAAATTTAAAAGAGTTCCAAGAAACTCAGGCAATTTCCGAAAACTGCAGCAATGTCTCGAGGGGCTCATGCAAATTTAGAAAAATGTGATAACATTTTATGGCAAGTTCCGTATTTTCAATGGCAGTGTAGATAACTAATAAAACTTTAAAAAATCGGGAAGATCAGAGAACTTCAATGCTAATGTTATAATAAATTAAAGAAAATTGTGAGAGCATTTAATAAATATCGTAATCTTCATGAAAGTTCAGAGGCATTCAAAGATGATTAGAGACATTCCGGTAGTCTCATTATAACATTATAATCAGGGAAGTTCCGAGTATTTCGAGGATGATCAGTGTTGGGCACAGTCAACAGACACGAACGAACACGAATTTTCTTGTTGGTTCACTGCCAACGAGATCGACGGACAGACTGATTGTTGGCCACTGCCAACGATGAACACGAACTATCCTTCGTTGGCCCACTGCCAACGACAAGCGATGGAACGGATTGCTGCTCCCGGAACGGAGTGGGCACTAGTTCTGCTGGTGAAGCCACTTACCACACGATATCGGAAGTTCTGAAAAGAACTCCGATGAAATAAACTCTTTTGGAAAAGTGATACTGTGGAAACACGCAGCAGGTCTTCATTGAGGATGATGCCGTTTCTATTGCTCCGAGCGTTGCCCCAAGCTTGGTGTTTTGCGTTCAGATCGCCAGCGATAATGAAGTTCCTGCTCCTGCGGGTGAGTTTGATGATGTCTTTCCGGAGGGCCACTAACGACCCGTCCCTGATGTTGGTTTGCTTGGGGCAGTAGGCCGCGATGATGGTGATTGGGCCAAGTGATGTGCTCACCTCCACTCCGATGGCTTCAATTGCTTTCAGCTGGAAGTTTGGTAGCATCCGGCAACTGATGTTACGTCTTGCAGCAATGGCCACTCCTCCACCTCCAGAGCAGGTGCGATCAAGTCTGACAAGCCGAAAGTCGGGAAGGAATATGTTCAGTTCGGGTTTCAAATGCGTCTCGGTGATGACAGCAATGTCGACCTCCTTGGTGTTGAGGAAATCGAGTAGCTCTCTATGCTTGTTCGTCAGTGAGCAAGCGTTCCAATTTGCAATTTTTATAGCTTCACGGTCCATACTTGGTGACGAGTGACAAGGCAGCATGAAGCTGTTCAGATCGAGTCTTGCAGGTGCGCATGATGATGATGACCTCGGCCACGAGCGTCACAAGTTCCTCCGAGGTGAACGAAGAATCGTCGACAGATTCACTTGAGACAGCACCAGCTTATGATAAACCAGGGGCGGTGGATAAACCGCGAGACGATGCTGAACTGTCCGACTGTTAGGAACCATTTGGATACTCGCAGGATTGGCTTGTTGGTTGTTGAGCGGAAGCGGTGCTAGGTTCGGAACATGTCGACGGGGCTGGAGAGCTGGGTACTGGACTTCCGTGAGTACAGGAGGCGAACGATGATTACGAAGGCGATCAAGCTGGTTGTTGATTGTGGCCTTCCGACGGATATTAATGAACTCCACTCGCTTGGGACATCCGCGATTGGAGGCTTGGTGGTTTCCACCGCAGTTGACACACGTTGGCTCGATGTCATCGACTTGCTCACAGGACGCAGTTGAGTGAGTTCCAGCCCATTTGTCGCAGTTTGTCTTCATGGGGCAGTTTTTGGTGCCATGGCCATATGAGAGGCAGTTCATACACTGCGTTACATCACGATGTTGGGGTTTGTAATGATCCCAACTGATGATGACCTGAAACATGTCCCGGATATTGGATCTCAGAGCCGCAAGACTGGTGGATCCCTTCGTGAAATGCACCAGGAACAACTGATCATGAAAGCTGGTGTTTTGGTTGGGACGCCGGTTCATCGGCTTGAGCCCGAACCGCTCCAGCTCGGATTTCACCGCAGTCGCCTCGAACGACGGTAATCCACGCAAAACCACATTCAGTGGCTTGCTCGATGGCAGATCATGTGTGAAGAAGTCCACGTTGTTGTTCTTCAGGAAACTTCCTATTTGTTTGTACTCCTCCAGGTTGGAGCACATGATTTTGGTACCGATGCTGCAAAGCTTGAAGCGAGGCAGCAGCTTGTGTTTTGCCAGTTCAGCACCCAGCTTGGGAACATCCTTTACCGGCGTGAAAAGCGGGGGAATCCGCTCTCGTCTTGCAATGAGAACGGCGTCACCATCGCCATTTTCTTCCGGGAGTACTGCATGCTGGTTGGCTTGCAGTACTCGTTTTCCGGCGTCATCCTGCGACGCGCTGGGCTTGATTTGAACCTTCTTTGAAGGGCCCGCTGCTGGCTCATTGGCACGTTTACGCACCATTTGTTTCGTGTTTGCAAGTTCAAATAAACTTGCCAGAACGCGAGAAGGTGGCGACACTTCCACGGCGCAACGCGACAGCACAAAACGAAACAAAATCGAATCGAGAACTCGAGCGAAAATACGGACTGAACAGCTCGACAGTCGAGCACATAAAAGAGACAAAGTTTTTGGTGCGTACTCTACTTTTAAACATTTTAATATTTCATCAGCCACTGCTGATTGGCAGTTACTGCGCAACGCAAAAGGAAAGAAAAGTCTACTTTAAAATACAATCTTGATTGTGATTGGTTGTTGTCATGTTAGTAGGGAGGTCGTTTTTCCGCGGCTATCTCGGGGTTAGTAAAAAAAAAGGATGAGGAGGAAGGAAGGAACATTTTTTCTGCTGCTGAAGCGTTGACGGTCGGTAAACCCAGGACGTTTACAGTGCCAGTGGCGGTGAGCCTTTTCTGGCTTCCCCTGGAAATGGCTACCTCTGGAATTAACTTCCGATTCCCGAAACTTTTCTGGCTTCCATTGGATGTGACATCCGATTATTTTCGGAAAGTTTTTTGTTTTAATTTTCGCCAGAAGTTTCTCAATTTTTGACATGGAAGTTCCCCGGATGTATTTACGACTTTTCTTAGAATTTTTCTCAAACTTCTTCCAGGGGAGCTTCATTCTTCTTTCTCTGGATGTTTTTTCAGCTACCT